TGCAGTCCCCATCCCAGCAGGTAAATCTGGGATGCAGTGCTGTGCTCCCTGCTGGCCCCATCCCAACAGGTAAATCAGGGATGCAGTGCTGTGCTCCCTGCTGGCCCCATCCCAACAGGTAAATCTGGGATGCAGTGCTGTGCTCCCTGCAGTCCCCATCCCAGCAGGTAAATCTGGGATGCAGTGCTGTGCTCCCTGCTGGCCCCATCCCAGCAGGTATATCTGGGATGCAGTGCTGTGCTCCCTGCTGGCCCCATCCCAGCAGGTAAATCAGGGATGCAGTGCTGTGCTCCCTGCTGGCCCCATCCTAGCAGGTAAATCAGGGATGCAGTGCTGTGCTCCCTGCTGGCCCCATCCCAACAGGTAAATCTGGGATTATGGAGCCCCTGTCTCTGCTGTCCCCATCTCCCACCAGGCCTGCCTCTGTCGACTCCCTCATCAAGGGGGGTCAGGAAAGATGAAGTGTCCCCACTATCCCTGTTTTTCCTTTACAAGATGATAGTGTCCTGCAGAACCCCTGAGTTCTGTGAGGGGTTGTCCCTCCCTCACCCATGCTCGGCTTTAACGACCGGATCATGCCCGAAGCATTTTTTTTTTTTTAATTTATTTTTTTAATCAAACGATGTTTGACGTGTAATACCTGTTGCTTTATAACTGTAATGCCAGAGTAGGCACTTGAAGGCAATGAAAACATTTCTTGCTGTTGGTAATGTGGCATGGCAAACTGGGCTATAATGGACGTCGGGTCTGCGTTCCCATCTAAACTGTACACCAAATGTCAGTCAGCCCGTGCCAATTAGTGCTTATGTTGCTAGGTCACCGTGGTCAATTGAAAACAGCATCAATAGAACTTGAAAAGGTTTCTTCCCGATCAGACCTCCTGACATATTGAGCAGAATAATGGATGGGAAAAAGCAGCCAAGGCCCCTAGCCTAGATTCCGAATACTCGCCGTAAGAATTCATTTGCAACCTGCAATTAACTGGGAAGAATGGGCTCCCAGAAGGAGTCTGGGCGCTCAGAGAAGAAAGCCCCCGGCTCCCGTGTGGCACATGTTTACTCCTGGGACGGTGGGGAACCCTGGGCCGGGCTTTGAGCTGGGCTTTGAGCTGGGCTTTGAGCCGGGCTTTGAGCTGGGCTTTGAGCCGGGCTCGGGAGCAGCGCGGGGGAGTCGGCAGATCTGCCCCCGGAATAGAGGGTGGACAGGAACCTTCCAGGGAATTGGAAAAACCTCTGGGTCTGCTGCTCGTGGCAGCACCTGGTTGTGCAGCTTCAGGCTGTGATGAAGGAAACCATGAGCAAAGGTGGCCTTCAGGGAAATTTGGGAATATATTCCCCCCTCCCTGGTCTCTCTCTAGCGCTTGGCCACCCGCAGTCCCGCTGCAGGCACAGCTGGGGGGACCGACCCTGTTTGGCTCCGAGACAAATCTGCTTTTGGGGGACGTGTTGTGGGTCTCTGGGTTCCCACTGCAGTGTCTCTTCCTTACACAGAAGCGCTGGAGCTGCTCCTCTCCTTGCCTGGAACCGCATGCTGCAGTCCCCCAACCAGTTCCAGCCGGCGCAGTACCAGGGGATGGGACCCATGGGATACCCCCAGAGACCCGAGGACCGCATGGACAGGGGCAGGCAGGTAGGAACACCCTCTGTCCTCCTCCCCTCCAGGGCTTCCTTCTGGCGTGGCTGTGGGCAGGCAGTGTGGCGTGGGAGGGCACTCCAGAGCTGGTTCCAGTGTGTCATTGTGTCCCCACTGAGCACGGGCAGGTGACTTCCCAGCCTTGTCCTCCCCTGGCACGAGGTCTGCGCCAGGACTGCACCACCACCCTGTCCATTAGCACAGCTCAGACACTCTTCCTGCAGCCTGAGCAAACATCACCTGAAGGCAAGTATTCCAACCTCTCCTGTGAGGGAATCCACAGCTACACCTTTTGGGGTCAGAAGGGTTTCTCCCCAGCATGTTTTAAATGTGGATTCTTACGACTTCCTGTATTTTTCCTCTCGAGTGTTTATTGGCTTTCTCTTAGCTGAAAAACTACTTAATGCAAATGTAGCCCCAGGAATAAACATATCTGGGAAAGGACATGTGAAAATAGCTCTGTGTGGTTACATGGAAACAAGGGAACATGATGGGAGAACCTCATCCAAAATTACAGGTGACTCTGTCAGCAGTTCATGAAAATGCCACAGAGTGAAAATGCTGCTTGAAAGTAGCAGGTGACTTTGCTTAGGGAGTTTTGGGAGGGGGGGTGTTCCCAGTAAAATGTGATCTGTTATATACTCTTGTTCCAGATCTCTGAGCGTTTCCAGTGCTATATACTGATGTAAAATAAATTTCAGGTATCTAGGTTAAACTCTTGGTTCTGTTGCTGCTTGGGGGAGTCAGAACTGTGGGAAGGTTCCTGCTCAGTGCTGGGGAGGAGGAGGGCTCAGCTGCTGGGTGACAGCACGGTTACCCAATATTTTATCTGGAAACCAAGGCACAAACTGTTGGAAATGTACCTTCTCCTGGAACCTGGCTCAGCTCAGGACAAATCACTTTTTAGTCACTCCTAGGTTTTTTTTTTTTCCTCCTCTCAGCCTGCCCACCTCCCCAGTGCAGAGACACATGTGTTACCTGGCCCAGCACCAGCACAGGGGAGGCAGTACCAGTACAAATCCTGCCAGCACTGGGTCTGACTGGCAGCAGAACTCACCAGCACGGGTGATGGTCACACTGAGCTTACTGGGGAAGTGTAGTGGGGCTTGCACCTTTGCCCAACTAGGCCCCAGTGGTGTTTGTATTTTAAATTTGGATGAGGTGTATTAGTAGGATCAGTTTTCAAAAGTCTTTCATTTGGGTTGCGCAGGTTTACCCAAAACACCAGAGCCAGAGGAAAAAATGCCTGATTGCACTAATCCATAACAGGGGCTGCTGGGATAATGGAGAGAAGTCAGTGGAGGATCTTTGTGCCAGTGGAGCCTGGGCAGTGTTTAGTTGGGCTGGGGAATAGACCCTTGAACAAGTGTACCTGCCTGCACACTCTGCCCTGCCCTCCGTCCTGGGCAGCGTGGGGGGCTCTGTTTGCTAAAGGAGTCTGTGCTCCAGGCAGTTCATTCCCAACCTTAAATCTCAGTGCCCAACAGCCACAGCTGGAGTCACGAGGGTGAGCAGGAATAGCCTTCCAGAAGGGTTGGGAAGGGCATCCCTGGTTAGTTCCCTCTTGGGAAGCTGTCTCGGAGCCTCATGGCACCCACAGCCTGGATCATACTGTGGTCTTGTCCAAACCAGAATTCCCCTGGCACTGGCACAGACCCATCTGCTGGTGCAGGAAGTGTTAGAACTGGGTGGTGACAACCCTTTTATTTATACCCACACATAGTGGATGTTAAGGACAAATCTTTCAGCTCCAGTAATTTTACTTCCTTAAAAATTCCCTTTGCAGTTTGTTGCTTTCCAACTGTTTTTTATCTCCCCTTAGATTTTTGTTGCCTTTTGTTGTTGTTGTTGTTGTTATTTTTAAATGAACTTTCCAATGTCATTATTTCCTCGGGGCTGGAGTGAAATGAGAAGGTACCTGAAAGGCTTTCGGGTGCCAACCCAATCATTGAATCCGGCCTTGCTGCCTGCAAATTTCAAAGCTTTAAAGCCTTGAAAAGGGATTCAAGTGGAAGTGGTGACACGTAGCAGCATAAATAATTATCTTTGGGCCCTTTCACCTCTGAATTCTTTTTTTACAGCGTGCAGAACGCGGCCTGAAGAGGTTAATAAACGCGCTGCCGCAGAGTGCTTACAAAATTAATGCAGCTGCCATGGATCCGGGGGGCTCCGTGGGAGTGGGGGTTTGGGGCCTTCCAGCTCTCCCAGAAAACGAAAGAATAAACTTGGTGGTGCTGTGCAGGTGTTGGGCATTTCTGTTCCAACCTGTGGCCGCACACAGCGGAGCGCCCGGATCGGCGTCGCACGCGGATCTCCCAGGCCTCCGTATTGTCCCTCTGCACGGGGATTGCTGCTGGCTTTCAAGGATTTTTTTTTTTTTCCAAGGGATGTAACCAACTCGTTTCCTTTTTTAATTGCCTGCAATCAAACCTGGGAAGGAACCTCCAAGGTTCCCTCCCCGTGCAGGCTGCAGGGAGCCTCCCGGCAGGTTGGGTCGCCGGCTCCGCGGTTCCCGTGGATGTCTCGGCTGCCGTGGGCCAGGGTAAAGATGGATTTCTCTCTGGAAGAGAGGAGAGGCAGCCCCTCTTCCCCTCCCCACCAAAAACACCCCAAGTAAGGGGCAGACAAAGCCTGTCACTGGTGTTGGTGCACCATATTTAGTTTACTTTCCGGTCTCTGCAGTATATCAGGTTTGGAAATTATTTAAGATGCTTCCCGGCGATTCTGTGAAATTTTCCAGTGCATTTTTCACTTGATAGTTGATGCCTCAAATGCCTAAATTTAAGTAGAAAATAAATCTCATTTGGAGTGATTTCCAGAGTGGGATTTAGGTCTCTTTGGCCTACTATTAAAGTGCGAATGAATCTGGAAAATGCTACTTCTGTAAAAAATACAGTTTTCATTTTTTTCCCCTTAAAATACTTCCGTACACTTAAGTATTTTAAGGAAAAAAAAAAAAAAAAAAAAAGAAGCTGTGTTTGTCTGCCCTGAGTGTGAGATACCCCACTTGCCACTCTCTGCCTGGGGCTCTAAAAGCAAAGCACACCCAGAGGTGTCACTGCTGGGAAGTCCCTTGGCTTTGGGTGGGTTTGTTCCCCGGAGTGAAGCCGTGGCCGGTGCTGTGCAGCCCCACTCCCCTCCGGGGTTCAGCCCTGCCTGTGTTTCCTGGGAGAGCTGTTGGATGTCCAGCCCTGTAGCCGTGGTGGAGGGGTTTTGGTACCTCTCTGTACAGGGGATGTGGAGGGTGCATTGTTCCAGTCCCGAGTGGCGCCTCGAGCTCTCCCAACTTGTTTACTTGTGGTGTTAATCCAAAAAATAAATGCTTGCTTTTGTTTGTTTGCTTGCAGGCGTACGGCCCCGGGAGGCCCTACCCGCTCCCTCCTCCCGCAGGAAGGTACAGCTGGAATTAGCTCCTGGCTTCTATTTTTTTTTTTTTTTTTTTCTTGTTAAACGTAGGAAACGTCCGGATTTTATTTTTTTTTCGCTTTTTGTTCTTTCCAATATTTTGTGGGGGAGAGGGGGGGAAAAAGTTTTTAAACTTGTTTAAAATGTGCACATTTCTTATGGACCTGGTGCTGATGATTTTCTG